CCCAGTGGCAAAGGGGAGGGCGGTTAGGGCTCAGCGCGGTAGTGTGCAGAGTTCGATTCCCCGCAAGGTGGAATTGACTTTATTGCAAGCGGGAGTTACCATAGGGTTAATAACCCAGGCCTATCCATAAGCTCTCCACCCTGACTCCTGGAAGGCACATCCTGCGATTTACCTCCTCCACAATGGCCCAAGGCAGGGTCGGTGGGGGCCCTCAAGGTTGGGGTTCAACCTTTTTATATATACACACTGGCCAAGAGGTACGAGGACAAATGAAAAAAGTGGGTGGCTCTGGACTGTATAGGGATGAAACTGTAGTGGAGCTTTAAAAAAGGTGGGCACCGCTTTTAAATGATTCTTTCTAGATTACTAGCAAACAGATTGTTGCCACGTTTACAATCTTGATAGGTTTTTGTAGTCGTTTTCATCTTGGCTTCGGATCAATTTCAAGATTTTCTTTTCACCCATAATCGTGTTTGTACCGTTTTGCACGCAGGTTTTGGCGTTAGTTGTGTGATGTTTGTCCTTTTTTTTAAAATGGACCATGCGTACATGATCACATGGAGCCTATATTTATAAGTGTGCACTATTGCTTACTGTGGCGTCTTGATAGATTTTCTTCTTTGGTTAAACCATGTGATTAGCATAATTTGTAAAGCATTAAATTAGTTATCGATATCTCATTTTGTCATGTTTTTTTACAGATGAGAAGACTCGACCCTTTCGATGCTTCTTTTGCTATATAGCCCTTTATTCTATGTAGGGGAGGGTCTTTAAGCTTGACTATCCTCTTTGGAGACTTGATCCATGTTTGACCCTTATTATTATGGGTAAATAGTACAGAACATCTCTACATTTCAATGTCATTGTGCAAAACGTCTCTACCTTTCATTTTTTGGCATTTTCACCCTTACCTTCCACATTTCATTGCGCAAAAGGTCATTTTCAACCATTTTTTCAATAAAAGGCGATTTTACCATCATATTCAAATAAAACAGAAAAAAAAGATGAATAACCAACTGCAACTATAATCCTTAAGTATTTAAAAAATTACAAACAAATCATAAATTCTCCATCACCACCACTTTCACAACCTACCAAGCTGCCCCTATAGATCCACATAGCATCACCTTTCGGCCACCACGCCCACTGGACTCCATCACCACCAACCTTGCTTCACTCCCCCACCGTCCTCCCATGCACCAAATTTGAAGATTTGAGCACTTAGGACCTACCAATTTTGGTCAGACAGCTCTCTCCGTGCATCACGCCCGTGGAGAGTTTTGGATCAGAAATTGAAACGGTTGGGGTGATAATTAGTTCAATTATATTCATACCCATTGTCGTTTGGGTTTGTTGATGGTTCGATTAATGCCAATTTGGGGATTTAGTGTTGTGGGATGCAAGAATTGAAGGATAAGAGTTTGGCAAAATGGATGTCGCCACTGTCGGATGTCTAGATTACCGTAGAATGATTGTAGTCAGGTTTGATGGATGTGATGCCATGTATATGTTCGTCGATGTGAGGGGTAACTGTCAGTGATGGTGCGCGACCGTGGGTGGCGCCGAAAGTGGGGTTGCCATGAATGGTTGTATACGGCAATTTGGTATTTTAGGCTGCAAATGTGGTTGTTTTCGACAGATTTTGTGATCAGTACTATGGGAGCGGATGTTGGGTAGAGTGAAGCAAGCCTAGTGGTGGTGGAGTCTGGCAGGCGTGGTGGCCAGAAGGTGATGCTATGTGGATCTATAGGCAGCGGCTTGGTGGGGTTGTGAAAGTGGTGGTGGTGGAGAATTTATGACTTATCTGTAATTTTTTGAAAATTTTAGAACTATAATTGTAATTAGTTGTTTATTTTTTTTCTTCTTTTTTTTTCATTTGAATAGAAGTGTAAAATCATCATTTTATTGAAAAATGATTGAAAATGATATTTTACGCAGTGAAAGGTGGAAGGTAGGGATGCAAATGTCAAAAAAAGAAATGTATGGACGTTTTGCACAATGACATTAAAAGGTAGGAACGTTCTGTGCTATTTACTCTTTTCAAAATTCATTTTTAACTGTACATTTCATTTGACTCAAAATTTTTATCGAATTTTCGATCACATTTCATCAACTTCTATCAAAATTTATTAAAAAAAGATATGATTAAAAAATTGATAAAAGATATGAATTTATTAAATGTGTAACGAAAAATAAATTTTAAAAAATGAAAGCCAAAGAAGTAAGTATAGACTTTAAAGTCTAAACAAGTCCACTTTCACTTATTATAGAAAATTGAAACATGTCAGTAGTATATGCTAGGAAATAATTAACTAATATTCTGATAATGTGTTAAAAATATGAATAAAAATAAATAAATTTTTTTGTGGATTTAACTTTTAGACGTTATTCGATGAATGATTGAAACTCTATCATAATCATTGTCCTTTTTAAAAATGGACCCGGTATACGTACAGGGTCACATTGGGCCTACAAGTATAAGTGTATACCATTGCTTACAAAAATAATAATAATAATAATAAATAAAATAAAATAAAATAAAAAATCTATTTTTCAATTCAATTAATTTTTGACAAT